AGAAAACTTGGATTTGCAGTCAAATTTCACCAGAAATATTTTCTATTCGCAATTAATAAAATAAAATACAAATTGTTTTAAGGTTACTGTTGTAAACTTTATTCAAAATTGCATCCAGCAAAAAATTGCAATGAATTGCAAAAAAAAAAAATTGCAATTCGTGTGAATCTTGTTTCGTAACTTTTTAATTGATCCTGGACAATTTTTCATTAAATTTATTCAGTAGATTTTAATCGATTTTCACCTGGGATTCAGGCAAAATCCAATTATTAATTAAAAGCACAAGTCAACTGGAATTTTTTGATAAAAAACACAAAAAATAATTATTATTTATATTTCTTGATTCCAAACAATTGTCCAACGCAAATCACCCGAAATTCGTATGATCTGCAATCATTGATTCAAAGTAAAAAATTAACTTGAATTGTTTGGTAAAACTCATCTGAAATTCATAAGATCGGTAATCATTGATTAAAAGGAAAAGTTTATTTGGGTATCAGACTTTAATTCTACTTGTACTTGGATATTCGGGCGAAATTCTCCTGAAGTTTGTCCCATCATCAATTAATAAAATAGAACACGAGAGTGACAAGGATTTTCCAACTAAATTCATTAAAAATTTAACTTGACTACAAAGAGTTTTAATTCATGTCACGTAAAAGTAGAACTGAAAATCTGTTTAAATTTTTGACCGAATTTCACCCGAAATTCGCGCGATATTCTGTTCCAAAACGCCGCACGAAATAATAACAAAATTCGTCTGAATTCTTAATGAATTTCGGACGAAATTTTAAACGAATTCTGGTAGAAATTCGGGCGATTTATTTTCACCTGGGAACGCTTTTTCGATGTCTAAGGTATTCTCAAAATTTTTTATTTAAGTGATTTTAAATTTTTATAAAGTTTCTTTTTCAATAACGGCATATTTTTGCGACAAAAACGGTCCAAGCATCAATTTTTTTTTAAATTCGTGAAATAAAATTTCAAATAAAATGTTTTCTAAATTTTTTATTAATAAAGTGAATAAATTTACAATGTTTGAGTAAAGTTAAAATCAGTGCGCGGCCAGTGATCGAAGCAATTATTCTATATTATGAAAGTTTCAAGCGAATATTTTTAACGAAAATTAAATGAATAATAATGATAGTATATTTAACTTTTAATAAAATATAATTTGACATGTAAAATCAGTGATAAACTACATAAATTTTTTTTCTCAAGAGAAATCAATTATTGAATTTCATATCTTAATCAAGATTAATCCCCTCTTGCATTTAAGATATTAGGAGATCCAAATTAATTCGATTTCATGGAAAATGAATTTTCTTTTTCTTTTTTGCATTTGAGTATACTTATACATTTATACACATATAGTAGTCAGGAGCGTATAAAGTGACAGGTGTGATGCAATCGAGCATTTTACGAATTATAAATAATCGGGATAGCGATGCGATAGAATTTCTGACGATATCAATCGTCATTGCTTCGCGAATTGTTGCGATTTATAACAATGCAACCTGTCAACATTTACAACAATAAATAAAATAGAAAAATTTTTAAATTTTTATAACTTAGATAACAGAAATAAATTAGTATAATTTTATTGCGAATATTTTCACTTCGGTCACTGGTCGTGCGTCTTGAACCGTTTTTATAAGAATTTCAAAATTTTAAAATTGATTTGCGAATCTATTTGTTGTGATAGTCTCATGTACTGTATAATCCATAGTCTTATTGTTTTGAAAATTTCTCTATGATATTATGATTCATTATTTGATTAAAATTTTTCTATTACGCAAAAATTGACACATGATGTCACACTTGACTCAGAAGATACAACAAAATATATTTCACAAATTTTAATTACTGAAAAATTTATTTGGGACTTGGTGATCTCTCTCAAGTGTTTGCTCATGACAATGACACATAATTTTTTCTTTTTATGATATATTTACCCTTTTGGGATTCTCGCGCAATAAGAGGTATTTCATTTGTCATTTTGAATTATTGATTTAATTTCCATTTCTTTTTATTATTCAATTATTTCAATTTAATAAATTATAACAATGGCAATGACTAGAGAACAATTGGCCGCGAGAGCCACGGAACTTGAAGCCCGCGAACGTGATTTTAACAGCAAATATGCAGCTGCGGAACAATACGAAAAAGAACAACGCGCGCTCTTAGAACAACGTGACAGGGAATTAACAAAAAAAGCTGACGACGCGAAAGCACGTGAAGCCGAATATAATAAACGATTACAAGTAATTAAAACACGCGAAGTAGAATTAAAAAACCAACAGCAAACACTCGTACAACGCGAAACAGATCTGACTAATCAGACACAATCATTAGAATTGCGCGAACGCGAATTAACTGCAAGTCGAGAACGCGAATCAATCATGCAGCGATCCCGAGATGTTGGATATAGTACCCTAAACATCACATCAGGTACTCCACCACCAATTATACCATCGACCTCATCACACAATCCAGTTAATAATTCCCCAATTAACAATAGCTATTTAAATAATAATTTTAATGCAAATCAAATTCGTGTAACTCAAATTAAACTTCCCCCATTTTGTTCGACTGACTCGGAAATGTGGTTTGCACAAGTTGAATCAATTTTTGACAGGAATAATATAGCAAATGACCAATCACGAGCACAGTTAGTAATGTCTCAATTAAGTGCGGAGGTTCTCGGTTGCGTTAGGGACATTGTAATGGCGGAAGTTAAACCCGATGATGCATACATTCAGTTAAAAAATGGCATTATTTCACATCATTCAATTTCAAATGAAACTCGAATTTTGCAACTAATCCATGGTGATGTTTTAGTTGCTGGTAAACCCACTGAAATTTTGATCCGTTTGAGAACCCTTAATTCAGGTACTTGTAGTGAGGAAGTCCTCAAAACAATTTTTCTCTCGAAATTACCACATCAACATCAGTTGGTATTATCATCTAGTGGCAATAATTCATTGAATGAAATTGCTGAAAAAGCCGATAAATTGGCGGAGATTGATCGTCTGGCAAACGCCACCAATGCAGCGGTTTCGAAAGATCCACCCCCGCCTGAGAAAGAAGACGAAATTAAAACCAAAATAACAACCTTTGGCGAAGAACCTTTAAATTTAAACTTAGGATTAAAAAGAGATTTCGAATGGAATTTTTGTGTGGCTGACGTGCCAAAACCGATAATTGGAGCTGATCTTCTTTCTCACTTCGGATTAATAGTAGATTTAAAAAACCAAAGGTTACTTGACTCGAAAACTAAAATCGGTTTCAGAGGCGAAATGATATTGCCTACCTTGACCGGTATAAGGACAATTGATAGCAGTATCCCATTCGGTGATATTTTACAACAATTTCCGGAAGTGACTAGAATAGCACAAGAAGTTATCGTTAAATCACGTGGTGTATTTCATCACATACACACGTTTGGTCCTCCTGCCGCTCAGCGCGCACGTCGTCTTCCACCCGATAAGTTAAAGATTGCGAGAGATCAATTTGAGAAAATGCAAAAACTTGGTATTTGTAGGCCTTCTAGTAGTCCATGGGCAACTCCGATATTGATGAAAATGAAAAAAGATGGGACCTGGCGCATCTGTGGAGACTTTAGACGTCTCAATGCCCAGACAATCCCGGACAGATATCCGGTACCACATCTTCATGATGTAACTGCCAATTTACATGGAAAAAAGATATTTTCGAAGTTGGACCTGTACTTGGCTTACCACCAAATCCCTATTTCTCCTAAAGACATACCGAAAACGGCTGTCATCACACCGTTCGGTCTCTTTGAATATACGGTAGCTACTTTTGATTTGCGAAATGCAGGCCAAACTTTTCAGAGATATATTAATAAGGCACTCGGAAAATTAAAATTCGTTTACGTATATATCGATGATATACTCATTTCCTCTCGCAATCGTTTTGAACATAGAAAACATCTCAAAATAGTCCTCAATCGTTTAAAAAAATATAATTTGCGAATAAACTTATCGAAATGCGAATTCGGAAAGACTGAAATTGAATTTTTGGGATACTTGATCAATGAAAAGGGCATTAAGCCAACAAAAGAGAAAGTTAACGTAATTGTCAATTATCCCAGACCTAAAACAGTCTCTGAACTTCGCAGATTTTTGGAAATGGTCAATTTCTACCGCCGTTGTTTAAAAAATGCAGCAAAACATCAAGCTCCACTGTCGATTTTTCTTCATAACTCAAAAAAGCGAGACAAACGCATAATCCCATGGGACACTGAAACTGAAAGTGCATTCGAAACGATTAAAAGCGAACTCGCAAATGCAACTATGATTGCTTACCCGGTAGAAGGTGCTCAGGTTAGACTCGTAACAGATGCCTCCGATTCAGGAGCAGGAGCTGTGTTAGAACAATATTCTAAAAAATCTTGGCAACCTTTAGCATTCTTCTCAAAAAAGTTTACCCCGGCTGAAACGCGATATTGTATTTACGATAGAGAATTGACAGCAATCTTCAAAGCGGTAAAACATTTCGAGTATTTTCTGCGATCTTGCACTTTTAAAATAGACCACAAGGCATTAATCTACGCTTTTTCGCAAAAAAATGACAAGATTAATTTAAGGCAACAACGCCAAATATCCTTTATCTCCCAATATAGTACTTGGATGGAACACATCTCTGGAGAAAGCAACGTAGTAGCCGACGCCCTTTCTCGTGTCGATGCTGTTGTTACTCCTAGTCAGTTCGATTTGGAAGATTTGGCCCACGCTCAAAGGCAAGATAAAGAACTTGCAGAATACCTAAAATCTAAAAAAACAAATCTTAAATTGAAAAAGCTAGTTTTTGGTCCAAATCAAATACCTGTCGTTTGCGATACCAATTCAAATTGTATTAGACCATTTGTCCCGATGTTATTGCGTAGACGCATTTTTGACATTTAATACACACCCGCACATCCCGGCATTAATGCAACGAAAAGGTTGATCCAGCGGAAATTTGTGTGGCCTTCAATGAATAAGGACATTACCTTATGGTCAAAATCCTGCATTGATTGTCAATCATCTAAAATAACTCGACACGTCCACATGAAACCGGCACATTTTTTACCACCCGAATCGCGTTTTAAACATTTACATACCGATATCGTCGGTCCCCTTCCCAACAGCGAAGGTTTCACGTATCTGCTCTCTATGATCGACCGCTTTTCCCGATGGACCGAAGCAGTGCCATTACGCGATATTAGCGCTGAAACCGTAACAAGGGCCTTGTATGATAACTGGATATCTCGATTTGGGTTTCCTGATGTCATTACGACAGATCAGGGAACCCAATTCGAGTCACGACTCATGAAAAGTCTTGTCAGTCTACTCGGCTGCAAAAAGATACGGACCACCGCTTATCATCCCGCATCCAACGGTATGATTGAGCGGTGGCACTGGTCTGTAAAGGCGGCAATCATGTGTCATGCAAATCCAACCTGGACCCGATCTTTATCAACAGTCTTACTCGGTCTAAGAACTAATCTAATGAAATGCGGTTCATCCCCGGCCGAATACGTAGACGGCACGACATTACAGATACCGGGCGAATTCGTTTTGCCAACCGATGAAATTGTCGATCAAAACGCGTTTTTAACAGAATTCAAAAAACATATGAATTCATTAAAGCCAGTACCGGTTCAACACAATGATAATCGCAAAGTCTTTGTCCACAAGGACCTTAGCACGTGTACTCACGTTTTCCTTCGTGTAGGCGGTTCGAAAAGGTCCTTATAACGACCATATAATGGTCCATACAGAATAGTATCGCGCGTAAATGACAGAGTTATCGAGATCGAAGTAAATGGCAAACAAAAAAGTGTATCGATTGAAAATGTAAAGCCAGCTTTCTTTTTGCCCACTGAAGAAATCGATAATTCTGACAATAATGACAGAATTACTCTCATTCCAAAGAATTCAGTTGAGGAAAGTGAAATGCCTCTTAAATCGCGCGACAATAAAAATGACGCGAGTGCGGGAGAAAAAGTAGATTCACATCCGTTAAAAATAAAAATTATTCCATCAATCCCTAAAATTTTAATGAAACCAAAATCAGTTCCCAGAGAACTAGTAAAAGTAGAACCGAAAATAATTATTCAGGATACAGAATTTTTGAAAGACACATCTCCGAAACGCACGAGACATGTTCCGTCAATTTTGCGAAGAAAAAAAGTCGTTGAAAACCCCGAGATAGTTTCGAATTTTCCGGAACCAATAATGGCTCAAAAACTTCCATCAATTAGGAAAAAACCGTAAAACGCACGAAACACATCCCGGCAATTTTGCGCCGAGGTCCCAAAAGGGTGACCTTCAGAATCGACAGCTGCGCGAAATGCGCTTATTAAAATAAAAATTCTTTCCTTTGGTATTATTCCTTTTCGCCAATACTCGAGATTGATCACCTCGTGTTGCGAATATTCAAGTGAAAACAAGGAAGATTTTTAAAATAAAAATTCGCAATTCAATAAAAAATATAAAATCATTTTTTGATTAATGAGCTCAGGTGTGATATCACAAAAACAATTCATAAAATAATTAATATTAGAAACATTAGTATAAATAAAGGGTACCCATGTAAAAATAAAATAAATATAATCCTATCCTATTTTAACAAAACACACAATTTGACAAAACAAAAATTAAAAGACTGAATAAAATAAGACTATGGATACTTTAACCAAAGAAAAAACAATTATATACGACGTTGTCAAATTTTAATGTGTTAAAAATAAAAATATTTACAATTTTTCCTCGACAAAATTTTATGTACAATATATAATCAAATTTTATATAAAACAAAATAAATATACGCTTGAATGATTGAGTGAATGTATAGGCGAAAATTGCAATTATAAAATTTCTAGTCTCAAAATTAAAATAACAATTAAAAATTTTTTTTTTTATTATATCATTTACACTCGGGGGGGGGGGAGTGTGTGGGTGCGCCTTGAGGCCACCCCTCGCTCTCCCCTAACCTAACCTAAAGACGAACAGCCGACGAATTTCAGAAGCGTTTCTGCTGCCGACTAGGCTGGTGTGGAGAGTGAGTGTGGGTGATAATTCTTGTCTGTAAATGTGAGGAGTTATTTTTATAATAAATAATCATTAGAGGAGAACCGTGTCCGTTTATTTATCCATTTGGTCAACGCACTTCTGAGCAACAAATATGGATCCGAACTTCTCAGGACTCGAGGATTTCCATATGATCTTCTGAAAATGACTTTAAATTCCTGAGCGTTATCCAAGACAATTCGAAATTCAATTAAATTTGGCTTTAATTCTTCTAAAATTTATGATTCTCGCACAACACCAGGCGACAAACTCCACTTAAACCGAATGTTCTTATTGAGCATACTGAGGCACCCAGTTCTATTTGAGCTGTTAAAGTTATATTATTGATCTGAACATCGTGAAGCAACTTGGAAAAATATTTATAATTACCCGATTTATTTACTAATTTTATTTTCTCTGATGTCTCTTCTGTTTTATTTTTTCGTATGCAAACCGTGAAAGTTGGCTCATAAAATGTCAAAAAATTTAAATTTAATTCTACAATAAAATATAATGTTTAAAAATCAAGTGAATATATCATTCTAAACTTCTCTGATTTATGTAAGTAAATTTAAGATTTATACATTTTACTGATCATTTTTTGTCATATAAATATTAATCACAATTTTTTGACATTTTATGAGCCAACTTTCATGGTTTGCATACGCTAGGGAAGAATGTGTATATGAATTGTTTTATATAATTTGAATTGCATAACAAAATACGATTTCAATGAGCCTAAGAACGTTTAAAAATATTAATTTTTGCCAGAGAAATAAAAAAATAGTAAAAACATTGAAAATTGGGTTTTTCTTAGATATCTATTTGAAAAATTAACATATTCTCTTTGTCAAGGTGTCATTTCTTTCAGACTTTTATTAGCTTTAATAAAATAAAGAGGAAAAAATTTTAGTTTTAATATTTTTGAAGATTTGAACAGTTTTATAGTTGTTGAAAAAGCAGAGTTCGCACAATTTCGGACGGTAGTTTAAGCATAAGACTTAAGCATAAGACTTAAGCATAAGACTTAAGCATAAGACTTAAGCATAAGACTTAAGCATAAGACTTAAGCATAAGACTTAAGCATAAGACTTAAGCATAAGACTTAAGCATAAGACTTAAGCATAAGACTTAAGCATAAGACTTAAGCATAAGACTTAAGCATAAGACTTAAGCATAAGACTTAAGCATAAGACTTAAGCATAAGACTTAAGCATAAGACTTAAGCATAAGACTTAAGCATAAGACTTAAGCATAAGACTTAAGCATAAGACTTAAGCATAAGACTTAAGCATAAGACTTAAGCATAAGACTTAAGCATAAGACTTAAGCATAAGACTTAAGCATAAGACTTAAGCATAAGACTTAAGCATAAGACTTAAGCATAAGACTTAAAACTTATGTTTAAGTATTATAACGCTTGTATACTGAAGTACTGAAGTATACTGAAGTATACTCGAAATCAGTGAGGTATACAAGCGCCTTTAAGCATCAATATTAATTCTTATCCTTAAGTCTTAAGTCTACCCTTTTGTCTTAATAATACTTAAGCATTAGTGAGAAAAGGACAGAAGAGGGGCCTACAAATCGCATCTGTCTCTTTCTGTACCTCACACAGCACAGTATATTAAGTCGAGTTTACTAAAGGCCTTACATGGTAAGGCCGTGGTAATCTTACAGAAAACTTACAATGTAACTGAGCAAAAATATTAATAAAATTTATTTATTAATAACATTATTGGCTTAATGTGTTATTTTAAAGCAAGCTTACAAGGTAACCTCCTACACTTAACTTACAGGGTAAGCTTCCTGTAAGGTTACTAATACCTTACCACGACAGTAACAATAATCGCATGTTGTAGGTTTGTTGCTTCTTTTCTTAATTGCGTCAGACATCAGTCGTAATCGTCTTTTTCTTTGGCTTTCTTCGTCTTTTGCATCGCGACTTCCGCTTCAGGCTTTTCAACTTCATCATTACATTTTCTCCTTTTTCGGCATTTTTCTCGTTACAGTTCCTGTTGACGAAAATTTTTTGCAACTTAACTTGCTCACTCTATATTTAAAATTAAGTAAAGTGTAAGCTCCTTATAAAATCATAGCGAGTTTACTGGACAAGCTTGCAACAAACTTGTCGCATAAGCTTTTTGTAAGTATATTTTGCAATATTCCAGTAAGTTTATAGTTTACTGCTAACTTTAAGAAGACATATTGTTACTTGCTTCAAACTTGCACATTTTGTACAGGCAAAATTGCTTCAAGTTTGCGTGTATATTGAGATTGAGAAATGAACATAAACAACTCAAACATAAACAAACAAGATAAAATTAGGAAAATCTACAGAATAAAATAGAAAAACAAATGGTTCTTAAAATTGAATCGAAATTGAATTTTTTTAAATTAGAATTTTAAAATCAGTATTTAGTATTTTCGTTAATCATAATCAAAGCTCAGTACTTTTGTCATATGAATTGCTTACATAGAGGAACAAAATTACCTATATTTAAAATTAGGTTGTCATTAGAACCAGTTTTAATTTATCCATTAACACCAATTGTTGCTGAAGCGCTCTGAGTTTGATAATCTTCTCAACTAATGTCACAAAAATTTCACCTATCTTTGAAGTTAAACCATTTTTATGACAACAAAAAATTCGCACCTGCAAACCTGTTAATATTTTTTTCTTTTTACTAATATTGCATTTTTTAAAGATTAAACTATCAGAATTTGAATTGATAGTCCTGAGTTTTACAATTCAACAAGATGAAAAGGTATATTAAAAGTTTATGTATATGTGACTTTGACAGTTAAAAGGGACCTTATATAAAAAAAATATTTTTACCGTTTCTCTCAAAATTTTATTTCGGATGTATAGTCTCTTTGAACTGCCCAGGTCATACATTATAAACTCTATAACATAATCGTCATTAACTATTTTTACTATAAATTAAAATCAACTCTTATAACAGAGTCAAATTGCGTACGTGGGTATAACCAGCATAGGCAAAGAGTATGGTAAAATTATAGAAAAGGTTAAAGAGCAAGAGAAAATGCAACATTTAGAAATAATCATCGGGCCATTAGATGCAGACATTTTTGAAGCTTGTCGGGAATATTTTAATAATGTTCTTTACTCATCAAATTGGCACCATTTTCAACAAGTATGTAAATGTGTTACTCTCAAGTAAGGTTATTGGTACAAAATTTGTTTTTTGTTCAAGTAAAAATTTTTTCCTTCGAATTAAACTGTAAATATAAACTTTTAACTATATATTTTATAAATAATTTTTAAGTATTTCCTGAAAAATTATTGTTACTGTTGTGGAATTTCAATTACAATTACTAAATAGTTAAGGTTAAGGTTTAAAATAATATTTTAAAGAAATTTCAAATTAACACATTTTAGACTATTTAAATAACTTAATAAGGCCAATAATTTTTTTAAATACTTTAAATCAATCAGTATTTTAATTAATTTGAAATTCATGTAAAATTGATAATATTGCTTTTGAAGTTATGTTATTATGTCCTTTGTAAAATTATAATAGAATTATTTTCAATTTTCTCACACAAAAAATAAGTCATTTATGAATAAAATTTAAAGTACATGAATTTTTTATTGATTAAGAAATATAATTTCGTTTAATAATTACTTTTAATGTTTTATCAAATAAACCTCTGCAAATGCT